CCATCGGGATTGGGTTTTCGTCGCGTGGCAACGACGTTGTAAAACAAGCCCATTCACTTCGTGACGTCGGCAACCAGGTTACCGGGTTTTTTTTTACCTCTGTTTTTTTTTTTGGCGATAACCATAATGCTGGTCGAGCAGATCATGTTGTGCGGGGTGGAGAAACTTCACTCTGCTCAAGGGGGATGATCGCACCACGTTGCGTCAAAATGGTCAAGCACCCTCGAGGCAGTTATACAGTACTTACAACTGTCTCTGGGNCGGCAACCAGGTTACCGGGTTTTTTTTTACCTCTGTTTTTTTTTTTGGCGATAACCATAATGCTGGTCGAGCAGATCATGTTGTGCGGGGTGGAGAAACTTCACTCTGCTCAAGGGGGATGATCGCACCACGTTGCGTCAAAATGGTCAAGCACCCTCGAGGCAGTTATACAGTACTTACAACTGTCTCTGGGAGTGAAGCACCAGAAAATACATTAAGTCATACGCAGCTGTCATCCGTATGCAAGGAAGTAAGCACAAGATGCCGAACACCCTTTGCAGGATGCAGCGCACCCTTCATGCGACTCGCCGAATATCTCACGGCGCTTCGCGCTTGGTGATGTGAGAGCCTGGTCCGGTGAGGTTCCGGCGTTCTCCGTCTCGGCCTTGCAGGGATGCGAGGTCAATGGTCTAACGACTACGGCATGCACGACTATGGGTACACCCCCCTCCTCAAACCCACCACACCACGTAGACTGCCGCCAACTGCCCCATCCATCCATCCATCCTTGATATTATTTAGACGAATGAGAATACAACATCCTTTTTTTTAACACTAAAAAACTAATAGACTTTTTCTTCATCCACACTTCAAAACTACACCCCCGCACACACTTGCCATCGCCATGAAACCTACAAGCGTAGCGGCGACCGCGAAACGGTAAGCCTCGAAGCGCCCTTGTATTACATTCACTATTGTAACATGTGGCAACAATTGGATATGTCTATTGTAGCATGTAGCAACAGATCGATGCTCTTGATGTTCAGGTGTATTTGCTACAAGAACCACCCGCGGTCGTCCACTGCCCACCACATCGATGTTTCCACCTAAAGCTACACATGAGTTGTCAGCGCCCATAGTATCCTACATACCCTGTTCGCCAACCAACACCCTCCTCTGGCTTTTGCATGCGCAGCAGTATCACACCGGACCACGCCAACTGCAGTGGTGGGGAGTTCGACTCTTCCTGCTTGCCTGGGGGCGCAAATTTGTCGCACTGCAGCAGCGGCAGCAGCAGTACGGAACAAGGGCATATTGCAATAATGTTGAGGGTCGGCGTGGTGGGATTGGGCCGGATGGGGTCGGGTATGGCTCTCAACGTTGCCAAGGCGGGGTTCCCTCTGGCCATCTATGACACGGAGGAGGGGCGGACGCAGGAGCTGAGGGAGGGCTGGGTGAAGGACAAGCACCTCCCAACAGGTTTATCCCGCACGGACAATTTTTTTTCCGCCCGTTCCCTACTCGTTTGTCCATGTATCGGTCAGCTGGTTCGCGCTTCGACGCCACATCCCCCCCTCGCCCCCCAAATGCTCCGTCCTCTCGAGGAAGTAGGGTCAATGGCCTAACCGTTTAGGCATGCAACAATAGAAGTACGCC